ATCCTTAACCTTCCTGAAAGGCCTAGCGGGAGAGAACCAACACAAAACTTAGGTGGTCAAAACCCTCAATAACCAAAACCAACCAACCAAACACAATCCTTGGAAGATCAAAATTTAATTTCAGAATCGTGATGCACAAAAATATCTAAAATTTAGATACACAGCAGCCATCAGCAGCAGGGATGGAGGGGAGGTTGGAGGGAACGAGATGGGGGTCGCCACCGCCCCACAGCTCAGGAGGCACGAGTGGCAGAGTCGGTGTGGGTTCCAGGCCCAAAGGATCCTCTCTCCCACCAACTCACCCCCCAGGCCGAACCAAGGGCGTTGGCATTTTACCTCCTGAGGACATGGACCCTGGAGATGGATGCAGATGCCTTCAGCCTCCACCATATCCCTGTTATCGGTGGCACCACAAGATGCCTTTAAGATCTGGTGCCGGTGCCAGAGAGCACACACATCATCCGGGCCCCCACGGTGCCAAACTCCTGCGGCGCCTCTGTGGTGCTGGTTCTCGGCTTTGGCTTTAGAAAAGGAACTGGGCAAGGCTGTCTGGGCGTTCGAGGTCATGTCTGGGGGCCCGGTTTCTCAGGGAGCAGTAGAGTTTGGGAACGCTTAACCCGGCCACGGTGTGCGTGGGGACCAGGAAAGGCTCCGATCACCCCTCGAGGTAGCTTGGATCACGTACCACCGCCCCCCATTCCCGCCGCCGCCCTCCCGGGCTCTGCTCCGCCCCCCCCCCCCCCGGCACCCGGGGATGCGCCTCCGGACGGCCCTGCGGCTCTCTGCACAATTTCCTCTGCTCCTCCGGAGACAGAATTTATGATTCCAAGACACAGTGCCCTTTAATGTAGCTCTTTAAAGTGTCATCAGAATAAAACTGGAGATGGATGGAGACAGGGACCTCGGCCATCTTCGGGTGCGGCTTCCCGCGTGCTGAGAAGCGGGGCTCGTCTCTGCGCATCTCCAGTTCCCGCAGCGGGACGGCGGTCCCTGCATGACAGCTGTCACCCGTGGCACCTGCAGATGCCTGGCGAAACCTGCCCAGAACCGGCCCTGCTTCCCCCGAGTGAAGTGTTGTTTGGTCGCGTTCGTTAAGCGAGGGTTATCTTTGGCCCAAAGAGGGAAACTGATTCCTTCCTGGTTTAGCGATGGGAGTTGAAATTCTGATTTCAGGAAACCACAAGCGAAAGTTGGGGAGTGCCACTGTGCCCTCCAGGTAACCAAACTGACGGATTAACACGATCTTACATTCCTAGGCTCCTACATTTAGAAAGAAAAGTGTAACACTATCACGCTTCTGTACCCTGTGTACATCCAAAAAAAACGTCACAGCTGCAACCCAGCATGCAAGCCCTGCCTCCCTTCCTCCCTTCCAGTGAGAGTTTGCAAGAGTTAAAATCATGTTTTATTTAGGGGAGGGCTTGACTGTTAGCGTTTTATGCAGTAGGGACTTTATTCATGCTGTACTTTTCGTTGTTGATTTGTTTTTAATTCTTTTTTGTGCTGGTACTGAGGCTTGAACTCAGATTCTGGACACTATCTCTTAAACATTTTTTGCTCAAGGCTGGCACTCTACCACACGAGCCACACCTCTGCTAGCTTTTTTAGTGGTTAATCGGAGATAACAGTCCGTCAGACTTTCCTGCCTGGGCTGGCTTCAAATTGTGATCCTCAGTTCTCAACCTTCTAAGTAGCTAGAGTTACAGGTGCGTGCCACCAGCCCCTGGCTGTATGTTTTATTTTTAATCTACAAGTAGGAGTTTTGATCAAAGCTTCGGAAGATTTAGGGAAGCTGCACAATCTGGGGACTCATGTGTTCTGGTGTCAGGATTCAAAGCCTTCTTTCAGTGCAAGGCAATTTCTAGTATGGGCTCTGCAGTCCCTTGCCTGCACCCTGGGAATTGAAAGGGTGGAGGGAATTTGTTAGTGTGATGGCTCTGTTTCCACTCCCTGCATGGTGTCACCTATTAAGCCAGTGTATATTTTCATGGGACCTTGGAACTGTGCACTGTAGGCCTGGAGGAGAGCTTTGAATGCCACTTGGACAGCATCTCTCTGCCAAGTGCACCAATTCCCAGTGTTTTATAGCAGCACATTGATTTGCAATGGCAATAAATCTGAGAGGAGGGACAGTGTGGCCCAGATAATTAGCTTGTAGCACGTGTTTTACTGCTGGGGTTTCAACACCAGCAAGACACATAGCTCAGGGCCACCTGAAGGGCTCACCTCTTGTACCAGGATTTGTCACAGGGCCATTTCCACTGCACTGGTTTGCCGCCTGCCTCCTTGCTGGTGTCTCTGTTACCTTTAATAGGATTTCTTGACCATGGGAATCCAAGAGCCGTGGCATAAACAATCATGGAGGAAGAGGGAATTGATTTGTGACAGTGTGATTTTCTCCTTACTCCTCTATTTTTCTGAATATTTACCCTCATTCCAATCTGAGCCAGTGAGCTAATTAAGAAAAGACATATTGTTCCCTTCCCCATGTAAAATACCATGGGAAGCTTAAAAAATGAAGTCTAATTCCACACCTAGTCGGTGAAAACGAAAACCATAGAACAAAAACCATAGAACAAAAGCGGTGACATTCTATTGAAAGTCTCACCTCCTTCCTGTTGAGACCCACCCACTTCTTCAAGCAAAATACTTCTTGACAAAGTTTAAGCATCTGAGATGGGAGAAACAGCATGTGACCCACATTGGCAGGAAGAAAATATCATCCTGAGACAATGTATATGGAAGTTTGAGAGGATCATGGGGTGGGGGTGGGGTTACTAACTAAAGGGATGAGACTGGGTCTGCTTGTCCAAAACCAGCAAAAGATTCAAGACTAGAATTCTTAGATGCACCGGGGTGAAGCTTCTATTCTTAACCACAGGCTAGTGTGAAAGTCAGAAGGCAACTCACAGCTCAAGTTAGCTCTGCTGGGGACTTCCAAGGAGCAGCCAACCACAGCTGCGGGGTCAGTGTACAATCACCGATGGTGCCTGCAGTGGGAATCTTAGCCCGTGACCGCAGAATGAAGAGGAGGAAATCTGCTCCTGGCTTTTCTCTCTTAACAGAAAGTGGATTGAAGTTGTTAAAAGAAAACCCATTACTTCATACAATAAAATAATCTTATTCTTAAAAAGCAAATAGAGATGAGCTTAACCACTGTGTAAGACCCTTCCAGCAAGAAAGTCTATAGCGGGAGGAAGTTCCCCAAACATTGACACATCAGCACATAGCACTTGGGTAGCCATGTAAGAATATGTGATGTATTTGAGTGGCTTTCATGCAAGACCTTGTTAGAAAGTCTTGACACAAGATAGTCAAGGCAGGCTTTAATCAGAACTCACACATGGCCTCATTCTGCTTATATAAATGCCCTCAAGAGCTCTTTTGGCTCCCAGTCACTTAACTTTATTTCAGGAGCCAGAGGAGATGGTGCAGTGGGAAATGGAAGCGATTTCCTCCCTCCCTTCCTCCCTCTCTCCTTCCTTCCTTCTTTGATTCCCTCCCTCCCTCCCTTTTTTCCTTCCTCCTTCCCATCCCTTCCTTTTTTTCTTTCCTTTATTTTTCTTCCTTTTTTTTTTTTAAAGACCTACCAAGAGGCTCCTAAGCGCCAGACCTACTGGCTTGGTTTGGAGAACAAATATTTACATGTGTGGCTTGATTGTGTGTGTCAGCCTGAGTTTACACGGCTCCCAGTGAAGCGGATTACCCTACGAATTCGGAGAATTTGAGTTATTCAACCGAGCAAGGCCAACAGGACCTCTGCCACCCCCCACCCCCGACCGTGGGAAGTCCTGGTTGCTACCCGGTTTGCAAAGACAGAAGGTCCGGGGTCCGCAGAGTCCGGGCGCCGTTAGGTCCCGCGGCCCCGCTGCGCGTGGTCCCCCGCGAAGCTGTGCGTCCTGGCCCGAGACTTTCTGGGACCGGCCACCCCTCCACTTCCCAGTGACCCTCAGGAAACAGGAACCGGAGTCTGCAAGCACACCCCACACTCGCAGCGCCCCTTGGCAGGGCTGGGTCTCCCCAGGCTTCCAGCCTGGGAGCCAGAATGAAGGGAGCATCGGGTGGGGGCCTCTTGCAGAACCAGCTCCTCGGGGAGCTTTGCGCCGCCCCAGAGGCCGCTCCGCAACTTTTGGAAGTTGGTCGTGGAAGAACGAAAGAAATGATCAGGACGCTTCTTTCTGAGCGTCGCCTGGCCCGAATTCCAGGACCAGCGACTCCCGAGCCGTCAGGAGACAGGGTGGGTCCGGGACGGCGAGGCCGGGGCCGGGGACGGTGGGGCCGGGGCCGGTGTCAGCAGCGGCTCCCGCGCCCCGAGGTGACGGCCCCAGCTGGGATCCGCGGCCGGGCTTGGGTCCTGCCCGCTCCCCGCCACTCGGACGCCGCGCCCCCAGCCCTTCCCGCGGCCCCGCCTCTGTCCCCAGTCCGGTGCTCAGCCCCGCCCCCGTCCCCGCCCCTAGCCCGGTCTCCGCCTCAGTCCGGGAGGCAGCCCGGAAGCGGTGACGTGGGACGGCGCTGAATGGCTGCGAGCCGCCGCCGCCGGCGAATTAAGACGCGGGCCGCGGTGGCCTGGCTCAGTGACCGTCGCACTTCGCCCGCTCCGCACGCCGCGGTCGGGCCCGGGTGCGATTAGGCAGGTCGCTCCCGGGACAGCCCGGGCAGCTGGTGCCAAGCGGAGGAGGTGGAGGAGTGAGAACCCGGGGCGCGGCGGGCCCTGGCGGGGCGCAGCTGGTGCCCGTCCCCGCTGCGGGCGGCCGCGGGCCCCGTGGCGCGCCCAGTGCCCACGCACCTTCTTCGGCCATCACCCGCTGCGCCCAGTTCCTTCCTCGTGGGCTCCTAGTGAGGCCGGGGAGGGGAGGCCTGCGCGGAGTTCGGGCCGTCGGACCTGCAGTGCCTGCGCCCGTGCGTTCGCTCGGCGTCGCGGGCCGGGGTCTCCCGTGGGGAGGACGGACGCGGGCCCGCAGGCCCGCAGGCCCGGTGTCCGATCAGCACCGCGCGCTCGGGGCCATGGAGCTCACGGCGTCGCCCAAGCCCCAGCTCTCCTCCAGGGCCAACGCGTTCTCCATCGCCGCGCTCATGTCCAGCGGCGGCTCCAAGGAGAAGGAGGCGGCGGAGAGCACCATCAAACCGCTGGGTAAGTCCTGCTCCCCGCCGTGCTGGCCGCCAAGGCCGGGGGCAGAGGGGGGACCGAAGTGCCGGCGTCAGTTCCCCCGATGGGGGCGGTGGTCCTGTCCCTTGGGTCGCGCCCGAGTGTGGGGTCGTGCGTTTGAGTCTCCGCGGGGCTTGGTCGTCGTCGCCCGCGCCGGGCTGGTTCGCTCTCCCTTCTTGTCTAGAATTCCGCTATCTGTGGGCATGTGTGTACGAACATTTGCTGGCATTAAAAAAAAAAAAAGCAAAGATAAGTAGCAAAGCGAGATTTTCGGTGCATGTAAAAGTTCCGTACTCCTTTCGAATGTCAAGCTAGTGCACACCAAAAAATAAAAGTAAAAAACACGGCTTATTTTTGTTTCTCCGCTGTCTTGAATAGACTCTACAGCACCATCGCAAAGCCAGCTGCTCCGCTCACGAATCACGTCCTTGAAGGCGCTTACATTTATTTCATAGTCGTGGTCGTCTTCAGTTGAGCCTGGCAGAAATATTGACTAGTAACCATTTCCTAAAATCCTCAACTTGCAAAACTGTTTTTTGCTCTGCTTTGCGCAGAGGAAAGGGAGAATGGGCGTATGCTTTTCTCTGCACGAGTGAACGGTATGGGGAGGAAAATGCTGGTGTAGGGTGGGTGGGGGAGCAGGAATTGTTCTCACCACCTACTTTTTTGGGAAAAAGAAAAATAATATTACACTTCCTGATCATTCCTCCCCACCCCCAAACATACAGTAATCAAATAGCAAACTTAAGGGGATTCTTCTGTATAACTTGCCCTAATTTTTCTCTTTCCTTCCCAATTCTTTAATCTGTTAAATCCAAAATAATAGTAATAGGAAAGAGAAAATATAATGAAAATAAGAAATTTGGGCAGAGATAAATGAGAACTAAAATCTGGAAGCAACATGGACCAAGGAAATGGAATCTTGACCATCTATAGAAAACTGGACATCAAGAAGTCTGTCCTCCAAGGCTTCTTCCTTTTTCATTCTTCCCACCTTCCTTCTGTCTAAATCAAACCCTGCCAATGGAAGGAGAGCAAGTCTTCAACGTGAGATAGTTTAGGGGGGAAAAATCACAACATCAAATACTCATTTCAAAGTTGTATATCTGTGACTTCCCAGCATTGTTAGTTTCTGTTTAGGGGCTTTGAATTCCTTTTAAAGACTCCCATCTCATTTTGGTATGGAGTAGGGAAAGAGGATTTCAGGTTAAAATTCCCAACAGATGCATGGCAAGGGGTTGGGAAGCCTGTCAGCTGTGGCCACTGGCCTTTCCATACTTCTTTCTGATTTTCCTGAGGAAATGAGCCTTCCATGTAAATTCTTAAACTTGTAACTGTGAAGCCGTTCCCAGCTCTCAGAGGCCCCTCTACCCTCTCCTTCCCTACTCCACAGTCTCGAGGGAAAAACGAGCATCCTTCCCCTGGGGTTTGGTTGTTTGTACCAATCCTGGGGCTTGAACTCAGGCCCTGGATACTGTCCCTGAGCTTTTTTGCTCAAGGCTAATGCTGCTCTACCATTTAAACCATGGCTCCATTCCCAGTTTTTGGTGTTTAATTGGAAATAAGAGTCTCTTGGCCTTTCCCGTCCAGGCAGGCTTTGAACTGTGATCCTCAGATATCAGCCTCCTAAGTAGCTAGGGTTACGGATATGAGCCAAACTGTCCTTGTCCCTTGACTGACTGGCTAGTTCCTAAAAGGATCCCAGCAGGAGGAACACCTCAACTTCCTGGTACCTTTATGAATGCAAACTGTAACTAAAGGTAGGTGGTTCAGTGCTCACCCACTTCAACAAGTTCCCCAAAAGGAAACTAACAGTTAAGTCTTTAAAAAAGAACCATTGGGCCATTTCTATTTCATTTTCTTTTCAGCCCCCGTGCTCTGGCTACTCTGGGACTTAGGGAATTTGTTCATTGTCGGAAAATAAGAAATATGTTACAGTTACTTCCTAAGTCCTTACAAAGACACCATGTGTATATGTCTCCAGAATTATTACCTGAAAATAAGATTTTACTGCTAGATTGGTCTGGTCCCTTTTCTTTGGTTTTTGAAGCAATCAACATGACAATTGATTTGATTATTTTTAACTCAACATGTTTCCGTGAGTGAGATTGTCATTGTCTGGGAAGAAAAGGTAAAACTTCACTATTTCTGATGTGTTTGCCCCACACCACAAGGGCGAAAAATAAGAAAACATGTGAAATACAAGTGAGTCACAGATGCCAGCATAGATCTATACACTGGTGATAAAGTTTTATCTCATTTTCCTTCTAGACACTTAGAAACAAAGTTGCTTTGGAGATAACTTTACAGGGTAGATTCCAGCAGTTTCTTTTGACAGGGACACTTAGAAAAGTTCCCCTGGTTGGCAGAGAGCAGGCGTCTTGGTTCTCAGGCAGTGAGTGCTATTCCAATTGCTGTTGGATGGTAAAATATCCTTCCCACTTGACTTCCCTTCTAGCTTGGGACCAGAGCTGCTTTCCTTACATCCAGAACCTTTCTGAGTGAAAAACAAAAAGCAAAAAACTGCATACATTGCCTATTTCCAAGAATAAAATGGTTCCAAGTGCTGGGTCCCTATTGGTTGAAGGAGAGTGTAAGATTATTCAAATCCAACTTTTTCATCTGGAAGCCCAGAAAATGGAGAGGCAGGCACTGGAGTGAGCCAGTGATGAGACTGATTGATTGATTGATTGATTGATTGATGATGATGATGATGATGAACCCATATCTCCACTCTTCCACCAACCTCCTTTCTTTTTCACTTATGGAGGGGTTGCCTCTGAAAATAAGGAAAGTATTGACTGAGCTCTGAGGCTCAGGTTTGAGCAAAGTCTCCTGGTGTCAGAGGCAGCACTAGTAGGTGCCTGTCCCCCAAACTGCACATATCTAATTTGAGATTAAAAAAGAACTCATTGGAAGATTTGCCTTTACTCTTTCCAATCGTCACCTTTCAGTTTCTTCACTTGGGGTATTTCTCCTCCACAAGTGTGTTTCAGCAATGCCGGGAACAGGAGTCATAGTTCTTGAACTTGCTCGTTTGATGTAACAAGCAAGCTCCTAGTGTGGCCACCGAGGAGAAGCCAGGTGCCCACGGCTCAGGTCGTCTGTGGTGGAATTTCACAGCTCAGTCCTCCAAGCCCATATCCGTGTGCCATTTTCTTTCCCCGGGGACTGTCCTGGTTAGATGGTGACGGGGGTCGTTCTCCGTTCTCTACCTGCAGAGCAATTTGTGGAGAAGTCGCCCTGCGCCCAGCCCCTGGGCGAGATTCCGGGCCTGGAGGCGGAGTTCGGGGGCGCCGGCGCCCCCTCTTCATCGCCCTGCACGGAGCCCTTGATCCCCACCACGCCCGTCATCCCCAGCGAGGAAATGGCCAAGATCGCTTGCAGCCTGGAGACCAAGGAGCTGTGGGACAAGTTCCATGAGCTGGGCACAGAGATGATCATCACCAAGTCGGGCAGGTAGCTGGGCCCGGGCAGGCTGGGAGAGCCGGGCGGCCGAAGCTTGGTCCCGAAGCCGGCGCGCAGCTTCCTTTAATCGGGGCTCCGCCTTCCGAAATTGCTGCCGCGCTGGAGTCCGGGTTGCAGGGTCTGGCTGGCCGCAGCCCATCCTGCTGGCCGGCATGGAGGCTGGTGACCCAGGTGCCCCATGGCAGGCACTTGGCCAAGCCCCCTGGTGCTTGTCAGGGCGCTTGAGTGAGCGGCAGTAGTTTGGTTACTTTTTTTTTTCCACTAAAATTCAATGCTGGGCTACCGATGAAGCTGATAAGAGGAGACCCCAAAAAAGAAAGGGGCTGGGCGGGGGGTCTCCAGGGCGCCGAAGCTGGAACCCGGGCAGAGGTCCCTGCAAGCAGGAAGCCGCTGGGGTGCACTGATGACTGGTGAGCGGACAGACTGGCCAGGAAACAACGCCGGGACACCCGCACCGTCCCGGAAACCCAGGCCGGGAATCCCGGCTGGGGAGGGGAGGGGGGGCTCGGCTCCACTCTGGGCCGTCTGGGGTGACTCTGGGTCCCCCCAAAGACAGAGTGCTTGATAAAGAAAACGCTGGGTGCTCCCCACCTAATGCCAGACTTTCTGATGTGGGGCAAAAAGGTTCCAAATCGCGGGACTTTGTTCTAGGTGCGTGAGGGAAGTCTGGGGTCCACCCCAGCCGTCCAGGAAGCAAGGAGGAGGGGAAATGGGGGTGTGGGGCTCGCGGGGAGGGGTCCTCACCGCGCTCCGCCTCTGTGACAGGAGAATGTTCCCCACGATCCGGGTGTCGTTCGCGGGAGTGGACGCCGAGGCCAAATACATCGTTCTGATGGACGTGGTTCCGGTGGACAACAAGAGGTACCGCTACGCCTACCACCGGTCCTCCTGGCTGGTGGCGGGCAAGGCCGACCCTCCGCTGCCAGCCAGGTGCGTGTCCCCGAGGTTTGCAGAGCCAAAGTTCCCCCTCCTGGAGGGAAGTCTCTGGCTCTGGGAATGTTCCCCAGGGTCTGGTTTTCTTTTTCTTTTTTGTTTGTTTTTGTTTGTTTGTTTTCCAGCAGGCTCTGTCTGGTGTGATTTTCAAGCCTGAAAATTTCAGGATCACATTACAAAAAACAAACAATACAAAACAACAAAACAAAACAAAAAAGCCCCTATAGTTACGTCGCCAAGAAAGGCGGTTTGTGAATAGAGAAAACATTTCCATCCGTTTAGAGTTCCTTGCAGAGGTGTTGCATTTTAATTTGAAGATTTATTTACAAAGGTAACCCACTTGATAGCCCTATAACATTTCTGACAACCTCAAGATAGTAAATAAACCTGCAGATGAAAGAGTTGACCTAGAAAAAGAATTTGTTTCAGTTTGAGGGTTCACTTAGAGTAAATGTTTGTTAACAGCAGTGTGGTTATATCTGGGCATAATAAACATTTGGATAGATTTTGGTTGTTTTGATCACTGAAGGACTCAGAGAATTTTATTAAAAAGAGCCAGCTCTTTTATTTTCATCCACAATTTCAATGGATGGAAGTAATTCAGAAAGCTAGTATTCTTTTACATGAATCATAATTACTATATTAGAGATTACATATTATTTTCTAAGTAGTCACTGCTAATATTTTTCTAGGTATACCTGGCTTTTAAAAAATTAAGTTATAAACCATTATTGCTTTTCTTTTGCCCCAAAAGGCCATATATTTGTGAATAGCTATAGCTCAGGTCATAGAAATCAAACTATATACTTAAATACAAAAAAAGAATATTAGCTGGTGCTGTTTTGCACTAAAAGATGTCACAGATTTTAAGTAGTTTAATAGCTAATTTTTTATGCTTGGTAGGTTTTTTTTTAAATCAGAGCTAAGAATTTGTTTGAATGTCCCACTTCTATATTGTTTTCAGTGAAAGAGCAGGGGCATGGAGAGAAAGAGAAAGGAGAGAAGGGAAGGGAAGGGAAGGGAACAGAAGGTTTTTTTTAGTAGATTCCTAACCATTTTCACAAGCAAACACTCTTTTGTTTTTCCATTTCTTTTCCCCAGTCCCAGTCTTTCTTCTAAGAAGTTAATCGCTCTTACTTAGCATACATTTTTCTTCCTATCTGAAGGTATGGGGAAATAGTGCAGGCCAGCAGGACTTTGGAAATATGACATGTCTTGTTTATGTTACTAATCTGTTTTGGTTAGAGAAAGAAAGCTTGTACCAATACACTATCTTAACTGAAGCATGTTTAAGTTATTGCTGGAATTTTAAGTTTGTGGGGGGGGGAGGCCTTGCTAAAGAAGGGGCTCACTTCCTGTAATTTTTTCTTTTATCCTAGTTCAGCTTACATTAGTATTACATAAAAATGTGTCATGCATTATGGAAGTATTCCAGATAATTCAAGAAACTTCTTTATTATGATTACTTTTATCATACTGAGGATTGAACTCAAGGCCTCATGCTTACTAGGTACTATTATTATTCAAAATTTTGTTTGCTATTTTCTACCTCCCTGAAAGAAGAGTTCAGGAAGTGGGAATTTATGCATTGGTGACCTGTCTTTGAAGTACTTTATCTCAGATTGAAGTTCATCAGTCAGCCATTTCTAATCAGAAGTAAAATTTGACAATATTATTTGAGAGTCAATTCAGAATGCTTTATTCATTTTTTTATGTAAGATACTTTATTTCAAGTAATTTATATTTAAAAAGTTTGTGTTAATGTGATTATATACAGTGAATGTGATTACTAAAGAAGGGAGAAGGCACATTTGTTACATAAATAAATGTGGACTTTCAATAATTTGGGACTTTTTTAGGGGGAGGTGGAATGTGATCAATAAAATACTCTGATTAGTAAAATACACTTGCAAAATTAGAGCTTTGTAGAAATGCTATCATATTTGGGCCATTCCAAGAACACTCCTAAGTAAAAAGCATTTTTGGTCAGGACTAGTAGCTCATCCCTTTAATCTCAGCTGGAGAATGGGAGGATCTCCTTTTGAGGCCAGCTTGGGTAGAAAGTTTGAGAAAGCCAGCTCAATGAATCAGCAGGGTATGGGAACACATACCCAGTGCTCTAGCTGCTTGGGGGTATCACAAATGAGTGGACAGATTGTCCTCTGAGGCCAGCTCCAGGCAAAAAACATGACCCACTCTGAAAAAAAGTTAAAAAGGTCTGGATGTGGCTTACAGGCCCTGAGTTCAAACTCCAGCACCGCCAAAAACAGAAAAAAAAGTAATTTTGAGTGCCTTTGCTAAGAACCATGAAACAAACAAGCAAAGTCCTGGGGCTCTTAAAGTTCTTTGGGGGAAGAGGAAGAATGTGGTGCCTGCAGCGGTGCTGTGCTTCCCCTGGAGGGCCCTGCAACCCTCCGTCTGGATACTGGATTCTGTCACACAAGGTGACACATGTCCTGTTCTTTATACGAACTTGCAAGGAAAGGTTCTTGGAACTTTTTATTCTTACTTTGTCCAACCAAATCATCGATGTTTACTTACATTTATAAGGGCCCTTTCTAAAATTTACATCAGAACAAACTGTTACTTAGATGGAGAAATTTGTCAGGATGTAGCTCAGGCATGTAATGAGTGCTTAGTATGTACTAGGTTTTGAGTTCAGTCTTAGGGTCAAAAACATAAAAAGAGGGAAAAGGAGAAAGGAAGGAAGAAAGAAAGAAAAAGGAGAGGCAAAAGGAAATTTGTTCTATAAGAATAATTATTTTATATGCACCTGTGTCTCATGCCTGAAATCTGTCTACACAGGAGGCAGAGATTGAGAGGATCATGATTTGAGGCCAGCCCGGGCAAAAGCTTAATCAACTATTGAATGTGGTGGCTCACACCAGTTATCCCATGGGAAGTGTAAATAAGGCTGGTCCAGATTATTTCTGTTTGAGAAATAACTGAAGCACAAAGTGCTGAAGACATAGATAGATATCAAGTTCAAACCTTTGTACTGCAAACAACAAAATCTAAGGATTTCATCTTCTTTCTCTGATTTTGAGAAGATTGTGTCAAGAAGACAAGATTGGATTTTACAGGAGCTGATTTGGGGTTGATAGCAGGTCTAACGAATGGCCTATATTTTACTTTTAAGTAGGGTGATGCACATAGCAACTTATCAATAAATGATAGTTTTTTTTTCTCCCAGCAGTATTTCTTTTCAATGTTTAAGCTGTTTACAAATAGATTAACTGAATAATTCAAAGCCCCCCAGCTTGTTTAAACTTTTTGGAAAATACCTACAACAGTAAAACTTTTGCATTTCATCATATAGATCTATAGTTGACTAGATAAAAACAACCTATCTTAAAAAATGACTTTCTCAGCAGAGAATAGAAAATATACTAAGAATTACTTTTTTCTAGATTATAAGTACATAAAAAATACATGAAATGTTTGGGAGTTATGTTTGCATTGCTATATTAATAAAGATGAGATACATGGAGCAAATAAAATTGGGCAATTATATAAAGTTGTATGTTCTTCACAACAAAACATTTTATAACCCAGAGGGGTTACAATTACATGGGCAAGATAATGAGTACATTTCTTATCAAGCATTGTAGCCTCCTCCTTTGTTTCCCCTTCCCATCCATTCCCATCCACCCCCCCCCAACCCCCCACCCTCCCCACACCAAAGTTGTGAAGTTCTTTTTCAACATAAGGACTTGTACATCTCATTGTTGCAATGGGTCCACCTGGATCCCTATTTAAACGATTAGTTTTTCCCCTTCCCCTCCATAATTTATACCAACATCAAATACAGTGAAAGCAGGGGTTATACTGTGGGGGAGGGACATACATAGCAACAAAGAAATAATCTTATAAATGTGTTAGAAACAATCACATGAAAGAAAAAAAAACATTTGAATACATATCTTAGGTTTCATTTCCCTAACATCACCTTATCTGACCTTTTCTGCTTGACTCAGACATATACTAGATACTGCAAATAAGGGAAACCATGTAATTGTAACACCTCTGTACAGTATTTTCACAATAAAAAACATATTCACCCTTGCACAATCAAAAAAAACATTTTATAACCCAAATAAATAGATTCATTTATTTAAATAATGTCTGGCTATGTAGCCTAGCCTGGCCTTGAACTCTTGACACTCCTGCTTTAGCCTTTTAAGTGCTATAGGTATTCACCACAACATAGGACTCAAGCTAGATTTTCCAGTAGTTTCTCTGGTTGAATGCTGGTGGCTCACATCTGTCATCCTACTTACTCAGGAGGCTGAGATCTGAGCCAGCCCAGGCAGAAAAATCTGTACTATTCTAATAGCCAATTAACCAGCAAAAAGCAAGAAGTGGAGGTATGGCTCAAGTGGTAGAGCTCCAGCCTTGAGTGAAAAAGGCAAGTGAAAGTTCAAGGCCCTGAGTTCAAGCCCCAGTACTAATGTGCGCTCATGTGCGTGCGCACACACACACACACACACTAGTAAAAAGTATCTCAATAAAGTTCTCTTCCATTTTCCCTAGGCTGTACGTGCACCCAGACTCTCCCTTCACTGGCGAGCAGCTACTCAAACAGATGGTGTCTTTTGAAAAGGTGAAGCTCACCAACAATGAGCTGGACCAGCATGGCCATGTGAGTACAGTGCTAGGACCATGCCTGTCTGCTGGTTGACTTGGCACACACATCACAGGCGTCTCTCCTTCCATCTCCCTGATGCTCCACTTTATCCTTGCATCTCTGACTCCCTGAAAAGGCACACATGTTCTTCAAGGGCCCCTAACTGCTGCTGCCAGCAGGGTCTTGGCAAGGTGCTGGATGCCACAGTAGGTGAGGGTCAAGGACCTCCAAACATGTCTGCACCAACCTTGTCACCTCTGCTAAGTCAGCCAAGGAGTGAGACTCTTTTTTTTTCTTTTTCTTTCTTTCTTCTTTCCTTCCTTCCCTCCTTCCCTCTTTCCTTCCTTCCCTCCTTCCCCCTTTCCTTCCTTCCCTCCTACCCTCCCTCCTTCCTTCCCTCTCTCCCTCCTTCCTTCCCTCTTTCCTTCCCTCCCTCCCTCCTTTCCTTCCTTCCTTCTTTCGTTCTTTCTTTTTTCTTTCTTTTTTACACTGGCTTTTTTCCCTGTGGCTTAAACTCTGGGCTTGGGCTCTGTCCCTGAGCTTCTTTTTGCTCAAGACAGGCACTCTTATCATTTGAGCCACAATGCCACATCCAGCTTTTCTCAGTAGTTTATTGGAGATAGGCATCTCATGGACTTTCCTGCCAGGGCTGGTTTTGAACTGTGATCCTCAGATCTCAGCCTCCTAAGTAGCTAGGATTTCAGAGGTAAGCCTCTGGTGCCCGGCAGGTGAGGCCCTTTTGGAGCCTACTGAAGTCTGCTGGTGTTGCCATCTGATTTCTGTTGGTGGCATCTTGGATCATCTGGATGGGAAAGTGAGCCAGGATTCCTGGGGGGGGGGTTCCTTAATTGTGTTCTACAGAACATGGTCGTGAAAGATGCAGCAGGCTAATGCAAGAGCTGATCCAAACACCTTTGCAAAAGCACTCTTTACTCTGTGGATGCAACCCATTTCTGGAGAGTTTTATAAATTTCAAAACATAGACAATCCCTGGCGAGTAAAAACCAAGTGAATTTGATTTTGTATCACTCAAGTGTTCATTATAATGTGAGAAAAAGAGTAATGACAAAACTCTGAACATTTACCAATAGTTATTAGAACAAACAGCCATTAATGGAAGCCCTTGAACATTTGCTGAAATTCTTTTCTAAAGGTGTTATCTGTGGTGTGATTCAACCAAAATTTACCTGTGAATTCTGTTTCAGAGTTTATGCTACAAGAAAATTTTAGGCACATTCACAGAATTGCTTTTGATAAGGAAAGTCCCTTCCTTCTTCCCTCCCTTCCTCCACCTGTCCCTTTCTCCCTCCCTTCCTTCCTCTCTTACTTTCTTCCTCCCTCATTTCCTCTCCTTCCTCCTTCCCTTTTCTTCCTCTCTCCCTCCTTCTTTCCTTCCCTTCTTCCTTTCTTTTTATCTCCATTGCCAAATGGATATGAGTATTTTCAGTTTCTTTTCATGGCTTAGATATTCCAGTGTAACTACTTTCTCTCTTCCTTTTTATTAAATGAGAGTCTAGTTACTTATGTTTCAGTTTTTACTGGCTCTATGGAACTCAGAGGAAGTACTTCATAATTTTTCTCCAAGAAAAATGGTTTAGAGACTTCTAGATATGTCTTTAAATGATTGAGTAGGTCCTGGAGCCAAATAGATCAGATGATAACAAGGTGGCACGTTCAGTTCTAGTAACTAGGTTAGCACAGAGGTTAGTGGGAATGGCAGAAAGATTGGTTATGTTGTTGTTCCATGTGGACCTGTGGGTCTTGGTTCTAAGGGCTTCTGCAGTTAGGTGGAGAACTTAGTGGGTGATCAAGTCTCTTAGATAAAGTGGCACCCTATTTGCATTCATCCCCCTGTATCCTATAAGTCATTTCTAGATCACTCACAGTGCCTAATACCACATAAATACCATGTAAATAGGTGTCATGTTGTATCATTTAGGGAACAAGAAAAATACCTACATGTTCACTACAAATGTGATTCCTCCTCCTCCTCCCCTTCTCCTCCTCCCCTCCTCCTCCCCTCTTCCTCCTGCTCCTGCTCCTCCTCCCCTCCTCCTCCTCCTCCTCCTCTTCCTCCTCCTTCTCCTCTTCCTCCTCCTTCTCTTCTTCCTCCTCCTTCTCTTCCTCCTCCTCCTCCTCTTCTTCTTCTTCCAGTCCCAAGTACTGTCTCTGAGCTCTTTTGTTCAAGGCTAGCACTCTACCACTTTGAGCCACAGCTTCACTTCCCATTTTCTGGTGATTCATTGGAGCCGAGTCTCATGGACTCTCTTACCTGGGCTGACTTTGAAATGTAATCCTCAGATCTCAGCCTTCTGAGTAGCTAGGATTATAGGCATGAGCCCCAGCTCTCAGCCATATATGATTCTTTAAAGAATATTTGTGGTCCAAGGTTGGTTAATTGTGCAGAAACACAAAACACATTATCAGTTATCCTGAAGTCACCAATATTGAACCTGTTTAAGGCAATCAGCAGAAACCTTCACCACACACCCTTGTTAGCCAAGAATGTAAGAGGCCCCCTATCATAGCCTTAGCAGATGCAACCAACAGAGTGCCTGATTCTGCCACATTACTTAGGGAATGCTTCCCCATAGCCAGATACTCTGGCACTTTTTTAGAGGAAGGCTTCCCACGTGAGTCCCCAGTCTCTGGAAAGCACAGACCAAGAAATCTTTTAGGCCTGAAAATGAGGGGATTTTGTTTGTATGTTTTGTGTGGCCCAGGGGTTTGAACTCGGCCTACAGACTGTCCCTGTGCTGTTTTGCTCAAGGCTAGCTGTCTATCACTTGAGCTACAAACTTCACTTTTAGCTTTTTGGTGGTTATTTGGAAATAAGAGTCTCACAGACCGTCCTACCCAGGCTGGCTTTGAACTGCAATCCTCAGATCTCAGCCTCTTGAGTAACTAGTATTCCAGGCCTGAGTCACTGGTGCCAAAATGAGTTTGGATGCTCAGATTTAGCCTGAGCGCATTGTGAATGAGTAGAATGCAGGACTTACTTTCCATCTCTCCTCCGTAGATAATTTTGAACTCGATGCATAAGTATCAGCCACGGGTGCATATCATAAAGAAGAAAGACCATACCGCCTCCCTGCTCAACCTGAAGTCTGAGGAGTTCAGGACATTCATCTTTCCAGAGACGGTGTTCACTGCTGTCACAGCCTACCAGAACCAGCTGGTGAGTGCTGGGCCATGGTCAGCTCCTGTCCAAGGAGGTGATGGGAGGCACACATATTTCCAAGGAGAGGTGGATATTCCAGAATGCCAAATGGATGTCCACATAGAAAGAACGACCGAGTGCCAGCCCCAGGGCGTCTAGCAGGGAGTTGGGTGATCTTATTTCCTTTAGATTGTGAATGGGCTACTTCCTGATTCAAACCTATCCCAGTCTGCAGCCTCCAAGTTTCTTCTCCAGAAAATTCTCTGCTTTCCTTTCCTCCTCCGGTAACATGTAGAACCATGCTCTTATTGTTTGACAGAATTTAAAAATTCAACTTTTCTTTTTCTTTAAAAAAAAAAACTGTGCCAATACTGGGGTTTGAACTCAGGCCTCAAGCTCTTACTTAGCGCTGTTTCTCAAGGCTGGTGCTCCACCACTAGAACCATACCTCCACTTCTGGCTTTTTGCTGATTGATTGGAGATGAAGGTTTCACAAGAGTTTTCTGCCCAGGCTGGATTTGAATCTTACTCCTCAGATCTCAGCCTCTGGAGTGGCTAGAATGACAGGTATGAGCCACCAATTTGTAGCAAAAATTCAGATTTTTCTGGTAAGTTAAACACACAAGTCAACCACTGATACTTTTATTATTTCGTGGTCATCCATAAGATTTACTCTAATTTAGAATTTTCTTTAAAAAAATTTTTTTTGGGGGGGGTCCAATCGTGGGGCCTGAACTCTGGGCCTGGGCTCTGTCCCTCAGCTCTTCAGCTCAAGGCTAGCGCTCTACCACTTGAGCCACAGCACCACTTCCAGCTTTTTCTTTTTGCTTATGTGGTGCTGAGGAATTGAACCCAGGGCCTCATGCATGCAAGGCAAGCACTCTACCACTGAGCCACCTTCCCAGTCCCTTAGAATTTTCTTTTACTCTCTTTTTATTAGCATATATTAAAACTACAGGGAGTTTCATTGTGATAATTCTGCAGATATGTACAATGTACTTTGAACAAATTCACCACCCCCAGGATATTCCCTTAATGTCCCTTCTCTTCTTATTAAATGGGTGTGTTTCATTATTCTATATTTATACATGCATATATATATATACTATATATTCTTTCTATATACATACATAGTGTATGTATATATCTATATACATATAGATATATACTATATATTCTAAGTATAAACTCTGTACACTATAGGCATACATATATATACACTATTTATATACTCTACATAGTGTATGTATATATGTATATACACATATATGCTATATTATGTATATATATGTATCTATATACATAGATACTATATATATTCTATATACATTTCAATTCTCTTCATCTCCTAGTACTCTCCTTTCTCCCTTCTCCCTTCTATCTCCATTGAGCCCCTGTCCTCAATCCACTTTTTAGGCTATGTCCCATAATAATAATAATAATAATAATAATAAGTAGTAGTAGTAGTAGTAGCAGTGTTTTAGGTGGAGTCTGCATATATGTGAAATCATGTGATAGCTAAAATCATGTAATATCTGGCCTGCTGAGCTAGGCTCATCTCCCTCAATATTACTTCCACATCTGTCTATTTTCAAGTCCCCACTAGGGGCCAAGCACCATCAGACACTTGTTGATTCACTTACTGCTTTCATGACAGCTGAAGCTCAAAGGGTTGGTTGTAATAGGGACTCCATCGGCCCAGGCCAGGAGAGGCTCAGTAATTTTTCTGCAGTTAGGAAAGACAGAACCAGAATTCCTTTGGCTCTATTCAGTACTTTTTTTTTTCTTTTTTTTTTGCTGGTCGTGGAGGCTGAACTCTGGGCCTGGGCGCTGCCCCCAGCTCTTCAGCTCAAAGCTAGTGCTCTACCACTTGAGCCACAGCGCCACTTCCAGCTTTTTCTGCTTATGTGGTGCTGAGGAATTGAACCCAGGCTTCATGCATGCAAGGCAAGCACTCTACCACTGAGCCACTTTCCCAGCCCCTGGATCTATTCAGTAAAAGAAACCCACACCCTCCACTCATGTGACAGAGGCAGTCATTCATAGCATCTCTAGGACTTTACATCTTCCTTTGTGTGATCAGTGCATACAAGGGGTGGCACCCTTGTGATTTGTGCTGGGTTCTGAGTGAACAAATTAGGTGCTGGCTGGTAGCTGCCCTGAGTACATCATGGGCTGGCCAGGCATCTGTCTTAGGCAGAGGAAGATGAAGTTGCAAGTGTAGGTAGCCATATGTGAAGGAGGAGCTGGAAGCCCAGAGAAGGAAGTGGGTGGCAGTGTGGGGCCCGAGGGCCCGAGGGCCTGCCCTGGCTGTACATCTGTGAAAGCATTATATCCTTCTCAACTGCTCTTGACTTTATGACAACAACTGACCAGGGCATCTCAGGGCCCGTGGGACTCCCCATGGACTGCCTGAGGAACATCAGGGGAGAATTGGTCCCCTTTTGATTTAAAAAGTTTCAGAGATTTTTTTTTTTTAACAAGCCAATGCATTGTGTTTTTTTTTTATCATGTAAATCATCTTCTTGTGAAAGTAAAATCTGTAGCTTTTCAGCTATCTGCAAAGTGACAGCGGGCGTTGGACGGCCCCCAGAGCACAGCCACGCTCATGTTTCACTGCTGAAGTCCACAGGAGCCTACAGCCCAAGTGCCGCTGCCACGGAAGGCAGTGAGACTGATCATTCCATTTGTATTTGAAGGATCATGGAATGGAAATGTCAGAGTTCCCAAAAAAGAGTTCTGAAATTCCATTTACTTTATGTAACCTGACTCCACAAGTTTCATATTGCATATATTATCTTTACAAAAACTTAAGAAAATGGCCTGGAGGCATAGCTCAAATGGTAGAACTTCTTTTCTAGCATGCACAAGGCTCTGCAGGCCGCAGATAGGGACTGTCTTTAATGTCTGTTAACACTCAAAGTTTCCAATAGAATTGTGAGGAGAACCTCCTTATTATTGACACTAATAAGTTTTGTTAATTAAACTTAGTATTTTTTAATATTCTTGTTATTTTTAAGTAGTTTTATTGGTAGTTTTCTTTGTAAACAATGGAAGTAGCATCTTTTTTTCTGTTTCTCTGCTTTTTGCAAGAGGATGATTGCATTTCTTTACATTATTAGATAAAAGCTAAATCCATTACACTTTCAACAAACTATTTCATAATTTAAGACTTAAAGGTCATGTATTGTTTTCAAGCAGGCAGATGATTGCTGAAGAGTTGAAGCGTAGGTCAGGTTTCATTTTTAAATGCCTCTGGACACATCTTTTCCTGATAATTGGAGAAATGGCCTCTGAGGGCCAATATCACTTTGTGGCTAGAATCCCCAGCTGGATTCCGAGGCCAGGAATATCATGGGGGTACCAGCTACTACAGAAGCTCCCTTCATGGTGACACAGATGGTGGCAAATCTGCCCTCCATTAGGCATACATTTACTTGTAGATAGTAGAGATGTTTAAGGGTTAGAAAATATATTCTGTTCTGCCATTGCAATTGTATTTTGGCCTGAATTAGTAATCTGGACATACATTGGCACACATTCATTGTAGGATTTCTAAAGCACATTCTATCCTTACTTGCTTATACTTCCTCTTCATGGAGGAAGAAAAATTTCTACTCCTGATTTTCAAATAGGGCCTCACGTTTATTCCTTGCTAACCTGGATGGTATTCCTCCGATTTGTTCTTCCTTCATACTGGGATGACAGGAGCATAGGATGGTACTGCTTTTTATTGGTTGAAATAGGTCTTGTGAACGTTTTGCCCAGGCTGGCCTGAAACTCTAGTCCTCTCAATTTCAACCATCACACCTAGCTTGAGACACTAAGGGATTTGCATTAACTCTGAGCCAGTCATCTTTACCTTTTGGAAATACAAATAATCAAGAAGATTTTCAAGATCCCTTTTGGGAACAAAGTATATATAACTATTATACTAGGTAGATCTTCTCTCTGTATTTTCATTTATTGTAGAGCACAATAAAGCTTGGTGTGCTTCACATTTAAGAGGAATGGCTATAGGGGCTGGGAAGGTGGCTCAGTGGTAGAGTACTTGCCTTGCAAGTGACTGAAGCCCTGGGTTCGATTCCTCAGCACCACATAAGAAAAAAGAAAAAAGCTGGAAGTGGTGCTGTGGCTCAGGTGGTAGAGCGCTAGCCTTGAGCTGAAGAGCTGAGGGACAGCGCCCAGGCCCAGAGTTCAGGCCCCATGACTGGACCCCCCCCCCAAAAAAAGAGGAATGGCTATAAAAGAACTTGTGCCAGTAGTAGTTTCCCTATCAGATATTACCTGCTGTTATTTTCAGAAAAATTGTAACTATTTGCAAAGCCATTCACTGACAGTTTTATAAATGTACTACTTTTTTAAAAAATCCTTTCACTTTCAATTTTATAAATGTGATACTTTGTTTTGCAGAATAAATACTGGGGTTTGAACTGAGGACTTCACACGTGCTAGCTGGTACTCTACCACTTGAGCCATGGTTCCAGCCCTGGCTTTTGCTGGTTATTTGGAGATGGAGTCCAGCAAAATGTTTTGCCCCAGGGTTGGCCTCTAATCATGAGCCTTCAGATCTCAACCTCCTGAGTTGCTAGGATTACAAGCATGAACCCCTATACCTATGGGATTTTAAGCTCCCTTAGGACGAAGATGCAGTGCTCTTTTTTTTTTCTCCACATCATCTGACATCTAGCATAGTACATAGAAAAGATAATCAATCCTCATTAAAGCTGTGGGTGAATTATTGTGAAAGTGACTTTGTGGATTCTAAAGTGCTTTACAAATATGCAATAGTGTCTATGGCCATACCACTCTGAATGTGCCTGATCTCGGAAGCTAAGCAGGGTCGGGCCTGGTTAGTACTTGGATGGGAGACAAATATTCAATAGTTTAAATTGTAGTTTTTCAGTAGAATGAGACAAATCTCTTGTCTTTGAGCATTTAAAAATTTGTTAGTACTTACAATCTAGGAATATACTGATTGCCTGGGCCTCAGAAGATATTTACTGTTTATTTCAAACAAAGCATTGTTTTTGGATAGTACATATGTTTTAATGTGCCATGGTGCAACTATATTAATATTATAAGAATTATACATCTGGGGCTGGGAAGGTGGCTCAGTGGTAGAGCGCTTGCCTTGCATGCATGAGGCCCTGGGTTCGATTCCTCAGCACCATGTAAGCAAAAAGAAAAAAAGCCGGAAGTGGCGCTGTAGCTCAAGTGGTAGAGCGCTAGCCTTGAGCCGAAGAGCTGAGGGGACAGCGCCCAGGCCCAGAGTTCAAGCCCCATGACTGGACCCGCTCCCCCAAAAATAAATAAATAAAAATAGAAAAAATAAAAATTACATTAAAAAAATTATACATCTGGTGCGGGTGGCTTATACCTATAATCCTGTCTACTCAAGAGGATGAGATCTCAGGCTCATGATTTGAAGGAAGCCTGGGCAGAAAAACCCACGAGACTCTGATCTCCAACTAACTAGCAAAAAGGCAGAAGTGGAGGAGTGTCTGAAGTGGTGGAGCACCAGCCTTGAGTGAAAAAAACCAAATGAGAGCAGGAGACCCTGAGTTCATGCCCCAGCGTGTGTGCGCGTGCGTGCACACACACACACACATACACACCCCTACACACACACACACCACACCTTCAATACACACACACACACACATACACCCCTGCACACACACAAGAATTATAAATACCCTGGTAAAGACAATACTTGAAGCTGATTCTTATTAGAAACAAGTAGTTTCCATAGACATGTAGAGTTCTATAAATGTCTTTACATGGAAGGGTAACAAAACAAGGACTAATTCAGTTGCATTGAAAGGTGAATAGAGATAAATTTAAATTTATCTTCTGCAGGCTTTCGATCCTTCATTTATGTGACATTGATCAGTATCAATATAGCATGGAACAGGAGGCTCTTACTGGTTATCTAACCTTTTTCTTTACTTTGGTCTAAGGTCTCTTGTTCATAGTAACTAACCATGTAGGAAGGGGAAATATCTCCCTTTATTCTCCATTTCCCACCAGAGGCTGGGGCTCTGCTCCACTTCTCCATTTGGGGCCCTTCCTCTCACTATGGCCCTTAATAATTGACAGCCCACTTCAAGTCTCCCCCTTGCTGGCAGGTTTGCTAACCCAACTGTGTCTTCACTAATTCTTTAAAAAATTTATTGTTATTATAAAGGTGATCTAAAGAGAGGTTACAGTTTCTTTTTTTTTTTTTTTGGGTCCAGTCGTAGGGCCCAAACTCTGGGCTGAGGGACAGCTCTTCAAGCTCAAGGCTAGCGCTCTACCACTTGAGCCACAGTGCCACTTCCGGCTTTTTTCTTTTTGCTTATGTGGTGCTGAGGAATCGAACTCAGGGCCTCAGGCATGCAAGGCAAGCGCTCTACCACTGAGCCACCTTCCCAGCCCAAGGTTACAGTTTCTTAAGCCAGGTAAAGAGTACATTTCTTTTTAGACAGTGTCACCCCTTCCCTGGTGATCTCTCTCAGTTTTCCCCTCCCATCCCAGTCCCACAACTTGTGTAGTTCCTTTTCAGCATAGTGTCCAGTGAGTTCCACTGCTCCATTTGTTCTCCCTTTGTCCCACCATTTCTGTGGCTATTTCTGATGTTACTTTGTGGAACTCATAAATGAGATGGTTTTGTGCTCATTCTTTCTAGATAACCAAGCTGAAAATAGACAGCAATCCTTTCGCCAAAGGATTTCGGGACTCCTCCAGGCTCACGGACATCGAGAGGTGAGGCTCACTTTCTGTTTACCCTTTGGTCGAGATAAGATAAAGGGAAGGGTGAGTTTGTAAGAACACAGGCTTCTCCCCTGCAGAAACTCGAACCCTGCTGAGTCTAGCCTGCAACAGTTCCCTGCGTTCTTTCCTTCTAGCTATAAACCCTGAGATAAACTGCCAAATTCCTGCAGCCAGATCTTTCCTAGCTCTTCTTTAAGTGAGGCGACAGATGTGGACCCGTTGCTCAAGATGTGCCCTCCCCTGTAGAGGCAGAAAAGCCAGGGCTTTCTTCCCATCAAAGACTTCATCCTCTCAGTGCTTTTAAGCTATGTGATTTGTGGGGGCAATCTGTGGAGAAGTAGAATTCGGTAGACTTGGTTCTGCTGTGAATATATTGGCTAGTGGCAGGACTGAGATCCGGCATTGGAAAGGGGTCAATGTGATTTAAGTGCAGATCACATAATTTTGACTGGCGTGTAGACAGCATGAAAAGGAGGAACATCAGGTCTCAGGACCTGTCAGAGGATGAATAAACATCTGCTCATGTGCCTGTCACTTTCTCCACCTTCTGGTTGAAATGGTTCGTGAAGTTTGGTACCATCGAGGTAATGGACAGTGAATACTGAATCTTGAGGTCCTTTGTGTACCCAAATGAATGATAAAAAATATATATTTTCAAAGAGACACTTAACCTGATAGTTATTTCTAGTTCTTAACCAAATTGACTTTCTATACTTGATTCGCCCCCCCCCCCCTTTTTTTAAAGTACTGGATGTGAACTCAAAGCTGTGTGTTTGTTAGGCAAGGCCTCCAGTGTTTTTTTGTTGTCTGTTTTTATTTAAGATGGGGTCTTGCTTCCTGCCTGTTTGGCATCTGGACTTCAGTCTGCTTATATTAAGTTTTCCCTTGTTGCTAGGGTGACAGGTGTGCGTCACCACCTCCGGCTTCCTCCCGCTGAGATGGAGTCTCTTGGATTTTTCCATGTGGGTTGGCTTGCAAGCATGATCCTCCTACTCTTAGCCCTCCTGCCTGGCTTAGCATGACAGGTGTGCACCAATGTGCCCAATAATGAGTTGTGAAGATCTTGTAAACTTTTCTACCCAAACTGACCTTGACCCATTTTTCTCCCAAATAACTAGGATTCCAGGTGTGAATTGTTCAGTGCTTCACTCTATCATTTTACGAGCTCTAATGTCTTTACTGACAGGTGCAGTACTTAGCTATTAGCCCTCTGGCATATTGCATCCACACATCTTTGTGTGACTTGTCTGCTAGCTGCTATACATTTCAGCTGCAATCATTGCTCCCTGCAGGGTCACATCTGGTCTCAGCACTTCCATCTAAGCTCTCCTGGCAATGCAAGTTGAGGGATGTAGCAACCTCTGTCTCATTCTCCCTACGCCTTTCTAAGTGTCAGAGTGTTGAGAGGTGGTTCGTTGGGAAGGAAAGGCTTGGTGGGCAGGCAGAGAAGCCAAAAGGGCTGGCCAAATATTGGATTTGAGTCACAAAGAGATGAATTAGTTGGAGAGCTCTATAAATGGCTGGAGATGGTAAGAACAGGACAAGAATCCCAGGCTTGGAGTTGATAATCTATTGCAAAGTACCAAGAGCAGGCAAGTGGGTGAGTTCAGTTGGAAGAGCCATCAGTCTATGAGAGTATGGTACCAGTTGTCTAGATGACAAAGGCCTCTTGCTTTAGGTAATGACTTTTTGTGAGGTGATTCCCTATTTGTGAAGGCCAGGAGCTTGAGTGCAGACGAGTTTGTGCAGCTGAGATGATGTTAAATGACTTTTCTTTTGGTTTTATTTTGGACTGGGGCAATAGTATGTGTTTCCCACGTGTGCACCATGTTCTGTCTGGTCAAGGGTAAGCATGATCTATCAGGAGTGAAAGTCTTGGGATAGAAACTCAGGTTGGCCTTTTCCTGGGTAAATGATCTTTTGGCAAAGTCACTGAGCCTGGGAATCTGTTTCCATCTAGAAAATGACAAGAGTAACCACTTATTCCTTTATTGGAGGATCAAACAAGATGAAATTTAGGAAAACACTTTATGAATCTCAAGTCAAAACCCTTCCTAGATAAATGTTGCATCAAACTATTGTGCCTGTCTAAGTCATTCTTCATTGTCGTCATGAACTGTTTCTTGGGTATAAACAGCCTTGAAGTCACTTGTGTTCCTAAGAGCTAGGAGAACGCAGTCTGACTGAAGGGCAGGTTGGGTAATGTGTGTTGACTAAGCATCCTGATGGGGTGATTCTGGAGGACTGAGAGAACACACTTACATGACTTGCTTGACGTCTTCAAGACAATGCAGTGATGATGATGTCTCTGAAAATCAGCTTTGCATGACCTAAGTAGTGTGAAATTAAGCCAAGGTTTTGGATTTCATTTCCAGGTATTTAAGTCTGAATTTTTCCTAAACAGCCTTTGGGGATGAGACAAATCAGATCAATTGATCTTTAGAGACCTAAAGAAATTAAATTAGTCTGGAGTCAGTTACTGCACTAAACCATCCAGTAATTGAATTGCTCCTTGTAACTGATTGAAAACGGCCCTATCTGTAACAATATTGGGAGCTTTTCTTTATAAAAGATCGGAGAGAAAAACACATCTTTTTATGACATGATGACAGATATTGCACTTCTCTAACCTAATTGAATAGGATGTTATAAATATGTGACCTTAATGATTTCAAGGTTCCTGTTCAAGATTTACAGCTTACCAGGTGGGGCAGCCAAACAAAAGTGTCTTTGGGGTTGGCCCTGTTTGCTCAGACCTGGACATTTCACAGTGCTCTTCCTTCTAGAACTGCAGGAGCTTTCCTGACAGTAGGTTTCTTCCTCTGCTTCCACTAAGGTTCCATTCAGAGTTAAATGTCAGTCTTATTCTAGAGAAACACACCTTCCCAGTAGGAAACTCCATCTCCTTGTCATCATTATTGGACTGCTTTATCATTCTGAAAATCAGCTTTGTATGACTGATAAATGGAAGAGTTTTCTCACCGTGTCTGTTGTTTTCTCTCACTATGATTGCTATTCTGCACTGTCCTCACTCCAAAATTATGTATAAATATTAAACTGTACACTTCCTATTACTTTTTTGCCTCCTACATGCTTTCTCTAATGTATGTAGTATTTGTTTTGGTAGAAGGAATCAAATAGAAACATCATTATATTTTACAAGGGGTTTCAATAGCATATAATTATCAACATATTGATTTTCTTATTAATAATTCTCTCTTTATCATGTCCCAAACTCTTATCTGTACTAAATTGAGAGCATAGGAAATATTGGCTGACACTTCAGCATCTAAGATGGTAAGCCTCTGCCCTTTTTATTTCTTTTATTTTTTGCTGGTCCTGGGGCTTGAACTACAGGGCCTGAGTGCTGTCCCTGAGCCTCTTTGTGCTCAAGGCTAGCAATCTACATGTGAGCCATAGCGCCACTTCTGGCCTTTTCTGAGCAGTTTATTGGAGATGAGTTTCACAGGATTTTTTTTTTCTTGGCCTGGCTTGGCTTTGAACTATGATCCTCAGATCTCAGCCTCCTGAGTAGTTAGTATTACAGGCGTGAGCTACCAGCGCCCGGCTCTCTACCCTTTCTTACTTGCTACTTTCAAATCTTGTTATTGTTCATTGATCTTTATGCTTCCAGTCTTTGCAGTCATTTTGCCAAGTCTTCAGAAACAATCTCATGGAACATTGATTGACCCTAGGTTGAGTGTATATAATATTTGGGGGGATAAAATGCAAACCTTCACAATTCTGAGGCTTCCCTTTTAGAAATATGTCACTGGTTTGCCATTGCCATCAAAATGTCCACTTACATTTTAAAACATCTTAGTGCTTTTAAGTTCATCAGTCCCAACACACATTTTCTTATGCAAGTGGCCACAGGTGACAGGAGAGTACTTAGCATCCGAGTCTCTCTTAAGGGAGAGGGAGGAGAGAGTAAAAGCAATAACCTATGATATTTGAATCTAGAAGGGAGGAAACAAGACAGGTAAAACTGTGAATCTTCTATATTGAGGTGTGTTAATTTGGGGAGGAGTGTGGGGGGAAGCAGTCCTATGGCTTGAACTCAGGGCCTTGGTGTTGCCCCTGAGCTTTTTTGCTCAAGGCTAGTGCTCTAGTGCTCGAGTCACAGCACCAATTCTAGCTTTTAGGTGATTAACTGGAGATAAGAGTCTCCCAGACTTCCTTGGCTAGCCTGGCTTTGAACCTCAGTCCTCAGATCTCAGCCTCCTGAGTAGCTAGGATTGCAGGCGTGAACCACCAGCAACCCGGCATACTGAGATGTGTTTTAGGTATAAAACAAAAAACTCAGGAGTCTCTTTCTTCCCATCTCAAAAAGAGAAAGAAATAGAGAGAGAGAGAGAGAGAGAGAGAGAGAGAGGAGGGAGGAAAGGAAGGAAGAAAGGAAGGAAGGAAGCAAGGAAGGAAGGAAGGAAGGAGGGAAGGAAGGAAGCAAGGAAACAATTGTACCTGGACTACCTTGTGAAGACTGGATATTAGAAGAAAATGAGTGAGTATCATTATTAGTTGAAAACTATTGATTAGGTAATAAAGAGTGTCTTAGCTGGATGCCAGTGTCTCCCTCCCATCACCCTGGCTTCTCAGGAGGTGGCAATCAGGAGGCTCTTGGTGTGAGGCCTTCCTCTTTCCTCTTGTGGCTCCCCATGCTTTTGATGTTCAGTTCACGCCCTTTGGCTGTTCTTTCCTGATCTCCCTTGGTGGTGCCCCCCTCAGCACATCCCTCTATGGTTGCCTGTCTTCTGAGCCCTTGCCTTCTCAGTCTGCACCTATGCTGGGTCATCTGACTCCGCTTTAGACTCTTACATACTGGTGATTGCCAATGTGACATGTCTTGTTCTCTTTGATCCAGAGTCAGGCTCTTGCTTTTACTTTTTTCTTCCCCTTAAGAGAACCTGGGATTTTACACACCTGAAACTGAATGACTAACCACCTTCCCCTGCTCCCGCTCTCCCCTTCCTGATTCCATCCTTTCCACG